TCGTCTTCAAGCAACCCAACAACAACAAAGACCAAACAGCAAAAAAAAAGGGTTCCGAAGGAACAATAATACAGCGCTGCCCTTGAATATTGGCCCTGTGTGGTAAAGGGAAAAGGATGCCAAGTAAGCTTGCGGGCCATGACGGAGAGAACTATCCACCAGGATGTTGCGTCTCTGTTGCATGGCATACAACAGCATAAGCTCGCTGATAAGGCCAGCTTCCAAGCGGGTCATAACTGCAGCGCTGGAATGATCGTAAGCATCATATCCTCGGCTCAGCTTGGGCCAGAGTCGCGCAAGAGCTCGAAGTAGATAGAATACAGCATGTTAATTTCTGCCATAGCAGCATTTAATTTTAAGTAGTCATGAGTCGCCATGGCAAGCAGTGCGGCAAGCATAATTCATCATTACCGCAAAGCTTTGCTGTCAAACAATGTCCCAAGTTCCCACCCACTCAGGCAGTTGCTTTGCTATCTTATCTGGATTGATACGCACGAAATCCGCGACAGGGAGAATGCCCTTATCTCTCAGCCAGTGGAGCACAAAGGTCTTGCCCACACCCATGGCTCCTGCAGTAAACCTTAGAAGCACGCTCAATCCTTCCTACTGCGCTTCATGTCACCTGACCTTTCGCATAAACTTAACACCGAAACATGCCCCTTAGGATCCAGATAGCCCAAAGTAAAGTAGGTAACATTAATAAAATAGACTTTAGGGCCTAGTGTAAGCATTATTTGTATACTTGGATCCCCAGGGTACCCAGACACCAGTTCAAGTTCGCTGAGGCACAAAAGCATAGGTGCCTGTCGCGCCCGGCCGTTGTTTTCCTTACTGGTGGTTGGATAGGGAATAAGGGAATTTGATCCTACTTTATTACTTCTATGCATATAATATTACCTTCCCTTATTCCCTACTAACCACCGGTAAGTTTCAACGAGCTCGGTGACCAGCTTATCCTGAAATTGTTGTCTTTCAAGAGTGTAGTATCCATGGTATGCACCGTCGACGAGTTTTCTTGCTCCTGCCAGGTCACATGCAGCATTTTGAGCATTTGATACCTTAATGCGATGTCCTGTTCTGCATAACCCACCTACCCAGCTCTCAATGAAAAGAAAAGTTGGCGGTGATGAGATCCCACCATTGAGCAGTTTCAACCTGAACATTGCTAGGCTGCCTTCCAACTTGCCAGGGATAATAACTGGCTCGCTTGCTGCGTAATTCTGCTGTGTGCAGATCTCCCAGTTGTAGTCTGGAGGAACGTTGCTCCAGGCTGGCTGTACGGCCTGCTGGGAGACACGGCAAGCGCCACAAAGCCACAGTGGATTATAGTCCCCCTTAAGTAGATAGAATATGGTATAATATGGTGTATATGGGGATCTTATTAAAATATGCCCAAAGTCATTTTCTATCTACTTAAGGGGGGCTATAAACCAATCTCTTTCTATCCACTGCGTCTGTGCTCTCAATATTGCATGCTGCTTTGGTTCGCACCATGGTGCATGGAGTGCATCTTGCACCACCCGTACGCTACGGCAACCGCAAGAACCAAACTGCTAACATGTTCGTGACGAGCGCAGGTCGAAGTATTGCAAGATTTTGGCCACTTGTCTTAGTTGCTTGCGTGCGAGGTCACTTCAAGTGTTCAAAAGGGGGCATCGTGTGTTCAAGAACCCAGACGTCCAGGGTTTGTCCACCCAATTATCTGGCACTTTTGATGGAGGAAATCTTGCGCTACTTCGAGAAGCTGTTCCTGCCTGGTACATGGTCACTCGCCGCGTTCGCCGAAGCGTGCGCCGGTGCGCAGCCAGCAAACCTGCTGCGAATGGCAACGCCACAGTTGCCTGATGGGAGCTTGGGGCTTTGAGCCAATCAGGACGCGCCTCTTGATTTCTGACGGTGGTTTCTGTTGGCAGCCCAACAAAAAAGGTTGCTGAGATGTCCACGCGACATGTCTCCCCATCATCCGCAACGCAGACTCGCATTCTGCCTTGATGCGCGAAGGTCGCCTCAATTTCGGCCTACGTGTGTGCTTCCAAGCTACACACCCTGATCTTCCATGCCATCCTCACTCACTTACAAACTTGTGTCCCCAGACATTGAGTAATCAAGTGTGGCAAGGAGCTCCACGCAACGCCGACCCGCAGAACTGCTTGTGCCCGGCGCTGGTATCGCCACCCATGGCTCCAACGGCTCCATATTGCACCTAGCCTTTGGCTGTTTTAATTGAAGCTTGCTAAACAGCATGGCTTGCATGGCCTCGTGCACCGCGATGCCGATGCTGTTGTTGTAGGCATTGGGATTCAAACGTCATGCTGCAATTCAGTGCTTGCACGCGCTTGCAACAGCTGCATGTTCCGTCAGAGCTGCTCCATGTCACGTATATTACGTAAGTTACTTCATGATACTTAGCTCACTCTCAGCAGCGGACGAATCTTGACCCGCACAGCTGCAGAACTTGGGCTTGGACGACTTAAGCCCTGCCAGGATCATGGAAGCAATTAGGTTGAACACAGCACTGCATGGCACATGTTTGCAAAGTTGCTCTGGCACAGAAAGACATCATGAGATATTTTTCTGAAGCTGGTGACTGCGGGTCAATTCGGAACCAGACGGGATCGTTGGCCACCCGTCCTTGATTTGGGCGAATTCCCTGCCAGGATATCAAGGGACTTTCTGCAAGCCAAACTGGGGGAATGCTGAGAACTCTGCCGGTCTTGCGCGACACCCGCCATGTCGACAGCTACGCTTCCGATCCTTCCAAACTTGATGAAGGGAATTTCAGTCATCGAATATCATTAAATTATGGTTTCAAACATGAGCAGCTGGTCTGTGATTGCGCCGCGCGCCACCCTGATGTTTCCAAGTTCCGACTATGTCCAGAACTGACGCACATACAACGTGCACAAGCTCTACTCATTGTGACAATGCTTTCCACATCTTCCCTCCATCAACGACAACAGCTTTTGTCGACAAGCACACGCCCTTACCTTTCGTAAGCGATGGGGTTCTGTGGACGTATCATTCACTTTTGCACTATACCAACATGCACTCAGCCAAGTCTGATCCGAAACTCGTAATATCCACACATTCGGACGGATCCAAGTTGATCGACGTTCCTAGAATGAAAGCGCAACTGGCCTGAGTCAGGCATAACAAGCCGCTGATCCAGGGACGGGCTAAGGCTGCCACCATGGTTGCTCCAATGCTGCCGGCCAATTCCTGCACAGCAAGAGATGCAGAAGTAAGTATGTGAAGTCAAAGTTGAAATGAGTCAAATGTGCCCTGGGATATACATCATGAATGCAGATCATAAACACGATGCACATCCTTTGTATTTGGATGAAAGCGGCTGTGAAAACTTCCTGCCGCAAAACAAGCACCGCCTGTTCTTTCTCTGACTGAACCAATCGGAGCCGCTCGCAAGATGGCACCAGAGGGACATGTTGACTAATAGCGGTCAAGTATCTCCATGGTTTGCGATGAAGCCACCTGTTAACATGCCATGGCTGGCACGGTATATCAATGTGAGGTCTCAATTGTTCTCATACGCCAAAGTTCATGCCACACGTGTGAATAGACCCATGGTTGGGCACATCATATATGTTACATCGGCCTGAAGATCTCTCGCATGTCGGATACTTTGACAAACCAATGTTGTGAAACGTCTTCCTACAAAATGTTGGACCTCCTGTAGCCTTGAGGTACCCGTATAGTGTGTGTTGGGACCCGCTTATTCAGGATCAAGGTAACGACTGTGAAAGCCTCATAATGTGTTTTGATTTTGGGGTTTTCAGAGAATCCAGACCACCCCTTTGAAATCAATCCTCGGGCATCTCAACACCGTGGGAGGAGGCTGTGGGCCCTTATCGAGGGATCTATAGTCTCTGTTTATCTCGGGGGCCCCCATTGTTAGGGGTGGAGCCCCCCAACACTTCACTAAAGAGGGTCCAACATTCAGCCGTTCCCCACCCACCTCTGCGCACAGCGGCGTTCACATGCTTGCAAGCCTGCGGAAATCAAAGCGCAAGGCGTTTGGTCTTGCGATTGCTCCGAGCCTTCTTCTGCACGCGCGGCTTTTTGCGCCACATCAGAACGCACAGGATCCTCACGTAAGTTGCTGCAGACACCCGTTGATTCGCCATGTTTGTAGCTGGGCAGTGAGCAGGCCGGGTTTGGGGATCACCGGGCGTCACCATACCAAACCTGGTTGCCAAGAAACGCAACCACACGACAATACCACCATACAGCCATGACTTGCTAGAAATGATGCGGGGCCGCGCTTTGTACCCATGGAGGATGCGGAACGTAACTGCAACACCTCGTGCAAGAACAACAGGGCTTGCTTGCTGCGCAAGTTGTGGCAGCGCCCAATTCCGCAGCTGGGATCCGCACATCCTTGACCTGCAACATTCGGCCGGAAAGCCCGCGTTTTAAACACATAGTAGTTTGTTTTTGTCACAAAACAATAGGGGCAACAGCATCAACACCAACAACACGCACCTGCGGCACGCACTCTTTCTGGAGGCAGGCGCGAAAATTGGCCTGGCAGGAATTATTCTTGCGATCACACGTTTAGACTTTAGACACACTCATTGGAAGCCTTCTGGGTCTCTTCGTCTGGCAAACCACCCAATGCCTTCACAAGGCTCCCGAGCATTATGCGCTTTGCAACTACAGTCATGTCATCACATGTTCCGGCCATGGCATGACAGCCCTCACAATAGCACGCATGCATTGACTGAGTCCGTGGCTGAATTGCCCATTGGAACCTCTCCCACAGGTACGCTTGAAGTTGTATCAAACATGCATGACCACAAAATGCAGACACTCAGATTTTGACGGCGATTTGGCGATCAACTGCCCAACACGCAAAGATCAATCACGCGCTGGCATCTACGAAGTCTGACTGCTACAGCTGCTGCAGCTGGAGCTGATTGATGTTGATTCGACTGGACTTCGCAAAGGTGTTCTTAAACTATGCTTGTTATTGGAGTTTCGCCATGACAAAAAAATGTATGACCATGCATGAGCAGCATTTGAAACGCGGCGAATTGCAAAAACGACAATCTGACCTCCTTGAGCCGATGCATGCAAAACAACATGGACAACAACCCCAACCAAAACACTCAGGGCCGTTTGCGATGTCAGCCAGCAGTCAACACCAGATCAACATATATGGCTACTGGTCACAACCATGTGCCCCGCGTGCACATTCCTATGCTGTCTGATCACGAGGGTCTAGATCACACACTTGATCCGGAGGGTCTGGAACGATGACTGACTTTTGCTGGTTCCCACAAGTGATACAGGGTGAGTATGCGCCAAATATTTTGTTCGGTCTGGAACGGGTATGGAAGAGGTATAAAACGGGCATGGGACGGACGCAAAGCAATGTGGAAAAACACAGAAAACGTTGAGATATTCTTTCTGAAATGCTGCATTCGTTGCTTCGGAATGGAGGGGGTCTGGATCGGGATGTGCATTCACCCCTTTTCCGGGCCTTTCATATCTTTCATAACATGTCGATTCTCAAATTTAAATCGCGTATTTGTCATGGATGCTGCGCTTGCCACTGGCTTGCCGCACCGAAGCAAAGGGAACTGGCATCAATATTGTTGGTTTCTGCAAATGGTGGATGCCCTGCATGGCTTTGCAAGTTTGGGAGGTATTGTTTTGGGGCATCATTTTTTGGGTGCGCCACATCGTTTTGAACAAATTTTTCTCGGACCTTTTTCTCGCAGACTCCCGTGGTCATTGCTTCTACATCTACCGGCGCAGGGGGAGGCGGCGGCCCCTCTGTGTCCGCGGGATGGCGCAGCTGGTCCAGCTCCGGGCCTGCCCGGTTCGTGACGCCGGCCGTGGAGAGCGCCGCCTGTTGCACCGCCGCTGCTAGCATGCCCCACCAGCGGCACGCCGCCCAACGGCGTGGCGCCGTTTCTCACGAGATCCAGTCGGCGCGGGACTACCTGTCCCTCCCGGCCTACATTGGTCCGAGCACAACGGCAGTGGAAGGCGGAGGCGTCTGCGGAGCGCCACGCAGCTCGAGGGAGGTGGCCAGGTCGGCAGGCACCGCCTCAAGCCAGACTCCAGCGTCGGCCCTGTGATCGCAAGAGTGCGCAGGCGGCCACAGGGTTGGCAGCAACACGCCTCCCAGCCCTCAGCCTGGAGTAGGATGTGCGTTTCGGCCCCGCTGCGCGCCTCAAGCTCGGCGTTTCTCTTCCCCAATCATCCAGCAAGCGAACGCAAGTCTCGGCAAAGGCCGGGAAGCGCTGGCGCAGGACGGGCA